TTATCGTTACACTACTAATAACAAGATCTTCGATTCTCGTTTAGGTTGTATCGGCTAAAAACCGCTCGATCTAATATTCGAACTCCGAGCTGTACACTACTAAGCCGAAACTTCAAAATATCTTAACTTCCTCATACGAAGTCAGATTTGGGTGTTCTTTTTACGAACACTCTCAGGTTAACATATTCTACAACTTTCATTTAGACAACTAAGGCTAAAAGTCACTCTATCGTAAATTCACTATTTACGCTTCCCAGTGTCGTGTCGGTTTCGTCGCGAAACTTCGACGAGTCATAACTTCTTCGTTATAACTCGGATTTCGGCGTTCTTTATATCCCCAGAATCCTTGTTTCGACCACTTCAACTTTATGTAAAGATATCGGGATTATCTTATACTTTAATTTTGATGCTTATTTTTTTATTCTTTATTAATTATACCTTTATAATTAAGTTATAAGCACACAAATACATATAATTCTCATAGTATTCAAATATTTCTTCTTTATTATTTCAAAAAGAGTTACAATAGTTGACCTAGACTATTACATCATCTAAAATGTTTAGCTCCGAAACATGGACGTTACAAATATTAATTAAGCAATATGATTTCTCCTTTAATATATTATTCCTATAATATATTAATAAATCATAATTAACCTCTCTTCTCATAAATCATCCTATTAAGTTGCTTTGGTGAAGACAACCCAAAAGGACCATGCACTACCGAATCAAATACCTACCAAATATAGTTACGAGCTTAGACACTAATCCAACATAAGCCTCTAATTTTCCAGATCACATAAAAACAATGTCTTAATGGATAAATTTTCCAACTTTATCCATTTGGATGGTTCAAATAACACCGTCTCTAAACCTAGGTCTAAAATGGGACAAAATGCCTCAATCCCCATGCATGGATCATTTGGAAAGACACACATAAACTCAAAATACCTCAAAGGGTTTAGAAATTAAAAAAAAAAAAAAAAAGAAACGCCTTTGGACATGGACCTTTCCAAACTCTCAAGAATCATGACAAAGAGGGGACTAATCAAGCTAAAAACATAGATCTAAGGATAAGACACATAAATGTTGGATCTTGATGACTTACAAAGGCCGAGAAGGCTATGAAATGTTGGAATAACTCTGGAATTCTTCATTATGCACCAAGGAGCTTGCTTCTTCTTCAAGAACCATCAAAAGCACCATCCTTTAAGGAAATTAGGCAATTGAGGCTTGGGTTTCGAGGTTTCGGTCTTATGGGATGGGAAGCTGAAGAAAAAATAACTAACCTTAGAAATCAGTGTCCTTATATAAGCCTCAATGCCCGAGATTAGAGTTTGGAATTTATGTGGCTTCGCGTCGCGACCTATGCTTAGTTGTTGTGCGACTTATGACGTGACACGCGTCATGCTTATCTATTAAGCTCGTCGCGAACAAGGGTTTTTCCCAAACTCCTCAATCTCATTTCCTCAAGATCCTAAAATAATCACATACGGGAACCTGGTGTTACACGATGCGTGATTCTTTTAGTGGTAAACATAGTGCGTTTTAGTGTGGTTTTAAGCCAAAATCAAATCACAAACTGCATGTATTGGTTTTTGTAATCTTAAAACCACAATGCATAGTTTTTAAAGTGGTGTGGTTTTAAGTGGTATGGTTTCAGTTTTAAACAACACAATGAAAAGATACGGTTAGGGATGAGCAAAAAGACCGAACCGGCCGGTACCGGACCGGAACCGGGAACCGGCTTCAGCCAAAATCAAGAACCGAACCGGCTCGGCGGTTCTATCGGTTCCGGTTCTACCGCTTCCCGGTTCCTACCGGTTCTTGTCGTGTCTTCAAATGTTGGAACCGGCCCTTGAAAAATAGCATCATACGGTTCCGATTTTTGTCAGTTCTACCGGTTCCGGTTATATCGGTTCCGGTTCCTACCGGTTCCCGATTCCAAAAATCCACAAAAATAACGTCCCGGTCCCGGCCCGAGCGGTTCCATCGGGTTCCGGTGCCGATGCCGGTTCCGGTTCCGGTCGGTTCCCCGGTCCATTTGCTCATCCCTAGATACGGTTTCTAATGTGAAAAGAAATGACCGTTTTAACTTAAACATCCATAATATTATAATAGCATATTTTTTTCAATATACATATAATTAAAGTCGTGGGGTTCGGTTTCTAGGGTACAACTACCGCACAACATCAAATTTAGTCGGTTTTTGTCAAAATCGGTTTTTTAGATCCGTTTGGTTTTTGGTCACCCCTTACAATTACCACTAATGCTATGGTATTTGGTTGATGGGAAAAGTAGTGTCCACTAATTTCTATGAGTTTTATCGAGTTCCCAACATGTTTTTCACTGAACATTATAGTCTGACATTAAATTTTAGTAGGAGGTATTTAACAGCATAACTTAACTAATTTCTTTCCTTGAAATTAAATAAAATCAATGATGATGAACCAAATCTCTGTACAACAGACATGAAGGAAAACCGAAATTCACTACTACAAGAAAGACCACCATCTCCTGCTTCTGTTCTCCATTCCACTACTACTTCCCCCCAACCACAGCATAAGACCAATACCCACCACACTCACTAGCGGAGCCACCACAAACCACCACCCTCCTCCTCCACCACCACCACTCACGTTCTCACTCCGCCCCACCAATGCATGGCTTCTGTCTGGTCTCCTCCTGTCACTATCTGTCGGAAGCTCGTATCTACAAAGGGGACAAGTATTGTGCGCATTTAACCATGGTGTAATACATGAAGAATGGTACACATGCAAACAAGGAAGTCGATTCACTACACTCCCAACACACACACTATCCTTACAAATCACACACACCAAACTCAAACCCTCCACGTCATCATCTCCAACCACCACATGTTCAAGATTCTTCACAAACAAAGCCGATGCAGGAGGCGCCTCTCTGTCAATCTCACCATCAAGATACTCTCCAACACTACGCCATGTCACTTGCTCCTCCAAGTTACCATCAATTCCTCTCCTTTCACCGATTCCGATTCCGATTCCGGCCTCCGGAGACAGAACCTCCCTAAGCCAATCCACCGACAGATTCCGTCCATTTGTCGCCAATGATCTGTGCAGCCGAGCCCTACCCAACAAACTTCCATGTATGTTTTCACCATCACCATCACCATCACCATCATCATCATCATCATGGTCATCCGAGTTCCATTGGTTAAGATCACCGTGGATGGAGTCTGAATCTGTGTCATAACTTCCAGAATTGGAATTAGAATATGGAAAGATATCAGTTTCCTCAAAAACAGAATCAAAGTCATCACTTTCTGTATCAGATAAAACTCTCCCCCATTGTCTTGATCTGGATTGATACCCATGGTCATGATCAGAGACTATAGGCTGCATGTGTCTGGCTAGATTGATCATATCTGGAAATTCTTGTGATAATATATTTTCTATAGATTCTGGGCTGCTGTTGTACCTTGAGGTAGGAGTTGAGTGTTGTGTGAGTGTGAGGGTGTCTGTGTCCTCCACAAATAAAAACTTACAATCCCCACATATGTTCATGGCCATGGGTTCAATCATCCCCTCAGATGAAAGAATTCTATGACACAGGCAACACCTCTTTGGTTCAATGGCTAATGTGTTATTCGTGTCCATAAGTTACAGCTGCAAAAGTACATGTTGTGATTAGTCAATTCATGTCCATAAGATACATAGAAGCTATGGATGTTTGATTATTAGCTTTAACTCGTTTATCATTGTTGTTTCCTACAATCTGTCATAACTCATAATCCACCTTTAGTGCTACTTTTGTTTGTTAAAACAACATACAGTTAACAAACACATAATGGGATTATTGTCAGATGTGAAGAAAGCCAGCATACAAACTCAACTTGAATTATTTCGCGACCCTCCATTTCCTATATCCATTTTGTATGATAAAAAAGATGCTCAAAGGTTTTGTGAAAGGTCAACGTTTATTATTATAATTTTAATAAGGATAAAGAAATGTGGTGTTCACTCGCATTGATACAATACAACCCAAATGGTTAAACTGGATATACATGCGAATCCCTAATACTGATTCCATGTATAAGGAAAAGGGATACCCATAAATTTACCAGATACTTACTTGTAAAAATCAATTCCGCACCAGAGATCATCAATTTCCTCACCTGAATTGAAAGACAAACGAATCGTTGACCACTTTTGAAATAAAGTTCATAAAGATTAGAAAGAAGCCTATGATCATAAGACAATTAACCTGAAATTTACCAGGGATTTGCGGCGACCAAAATCAAAGAAGAAGATCGAGAAGAAGGGATAAACGCGATGGAGAGTGTCAGAAATTCCCACGATTGGCTGCTTTCTTGTTTTGGGGTCCATTCATTAGTTGTCTGATGCAAAAAAAAGTTCCTCTTATCTCTTTTATGCCGCCATACCTGAAGGAAATTTACAAATATGTATTAATATAATTTTTTTTTTAATAAATAGCGAATTATCATTTAAAATCTCGGACTTACAAAATTATACATTTTATTCAACTCTTGAAGATTCTAATTAAAATATTAAGTGGTGAATATAAGAGCACGATGACCAATTGATATATTCAACAATTGATATCGTGGACTTTGATATCAAGATTTTTTCATGTTTGACGTACCATAAAACTATTTTTAATTAGTGCTTTGGTTCTACTAAACACCTTGTTGAGGTTTTAGAAAATTTTAAATTGTTGCAAACTTTCACTATACGTTAAGTTTTAATTGGGTGTTATTCTCAAGGTTTTGAAGGGTGTTGTAATTGTTTTATACAGTACAACATTGACTTTGGTATTTGATAAATAAGTCTATAAGATAATGTAGCTCTAAATAAATTGAAAAAAAATATTTCAATTGAAGTTTTTATTTTTTAAAGTAAAAAAATAACTAATTAATACAAAAAAAAAATGATACAAAATGGCAATGAAATTATTGGCATATCAAACGAAACGATATTGGCGATCTTAGGCTGATAATGAAGAAAAACATTTCGGAGGACCAAACTTGGATGTAATGAATAGTGGAGGGCAAACATTTACAAATTGTTGTTTTAATTGAAAGAAAGCAATCACATACATTAATGTTTTCCCTCAAAAATTGAAATAGAATTCGTGAGACCAAATTTGGCGAGTTTGTTAGAAAACAGAAAGACGTGTTTCCGGTGTTTTTCATGATCTGAAAGCCTTTCATCTCCTCCGATCGCTTCATTGCCGTTCTGGTGCCCGGCGGTGGGTCATTCCGATGCCCTACTACGTCTCCATTGTTTCTCCCTCGTTGCCTGCTAACTGTGTATTTGTATATATTTGTATAATCAAAGATGGCGTATCGTAGAAGGCAAGGACTTTCTAGGTCTTCCACGTTTAACGAAGGGATTCTCCATCCGCGAGACCAAGATGACACCACCACATCCTCCGCTGCAGCCGCACCTTCGTCACCTCTCGCCCCTCAGCCAAACAGACCTACCGACCCTCGTCTCCAATCTTTTCAATCCTCCGGTGCCTTTCACGCTTCTTTCAAAAATCGAACCAAGGTTTTTCATTACTTTTACTTTTAGTTTATTTTTATGCTAAATTTGAAGGTTTTCTGTTCTATTCTTCTTTACAAAATTCATACATATATGTGTGGATGAATGTATACAGATAAATCTTCCTCGTGTTAAAGGAACTGCGTAAATGTCACAATTGTGTGTATATAATTGATATTACCCCCTTTTCCTTATTTCTAGCTTTAATTGGTTTGAACATTATTACGATTTCAGTCAGGATTCGTAGAAAAAAAAAGTTCTGCTACCACATATGATTATACTTCAATGAAGAGCAAAAATGAACCAGGAGGCTTTTGGGGCGTTATAGCAAGGAAAGCTAAATCCATTCTTGATCATAATGGAAGTCCTAAACAATCAAATACTCCTAGCATCACGAAGCCAGAAGCAGTTAGTTTCTCAACAAGTAACCAGGTGCTATATCACTTTTTTCATTTCATATATAGTTTCTTTATTTGTTGATTATTTAATGTATAAGATTTTTCATATATCAGTAAGATACAATGTTGGTTTGTAGTTCAATGGTATTCAATTTGAGCATTCGAAGAAATTGGAGGGTCCTCCAAGAGTAAAGATTCATGGTTTGGATAGACTCACATCTTGTTCCCTCAATCAAATTGGTGAGACCATTGGGAATGCTTTGGAGGTAAATTAGTCTTGTTATTGTTAGTTAAAAGTAATTATGAATTGTAAATGTTTATAGATATCTATCAAAGTAATTATCTTAATTTTGTTACATTCAGGAAGGAAATAGAAAAAGCATGAGAGACAGGAAAAGCGATGAGGAATTGATGCAGGAATTAATGCAGATGAGAAGAGGCAGGGGAAAGAATAATGAAGGAAAGAAAGTCCAGATGGATCCAGAAACTCAACTGAAGGTTTCTCGCGACGTAAGGTGGCAAATGCATGCATGAATCATGATGCATCATGCATGCATGCATGATGGACATGTCAATGATAATATTATATATGAGATATATCATATCATATATGTATAATGTATGATGGTGTTTGTTTTGTTGGATTGCGTGGGTGACAGGTGGCAATTGCAACAGCTGCCAAAGCAAAAGTGCTTCTTCGGGAGCTGAAAAGAGTGAAGGCTGATTTGGATTCTGCAAAAAAACGATGTTCTGAGCTGGAAGAAGAAAACAAAATGCTCCGAGATGGCGACCACCCTGCACATGCACATCATGATGATGATGACATGGTATGTATGTCTTTTAATTTAATTAGTAATATTAACAGTTGGTATAATTGAAAGAAATTAATTAAATTGGATTGTTTATTTATGAATTTAGATACGGATTCAGCTGGAGACGTTATTAGCAGAAAAAGGGCGTTTGGCACATGATAATTCGGTGTACGCACGTGAGAACAGGCATTTGAGAGAGATAATTGAATACCATCAACTGAGCATGCAAGATTTGGTGTATTGGGATGACGTCACCCAAGAAGTTCAAATTGACCTATCTACCCCTGCTTCTGTTTCTGCGTCTGCTTGGTCCCGCCCAACGGATCCGGATACCTCCGAACGATCACGGCTAACTACTGCTAAGAGTGTATGATCGATTTTTCAATGTTTATGCATGGATATTATTAACATTAATTAATTTATATACATATTTGTAAATTTTAATTATTGTCTTTTTCTTTTAGGTTTTCTACAAATTTGTTATAATTGTCGCATTCTTAATTTCATTATCTTTTTTAGTTGGTTATATCATATATGGGTTTTTCTTTCAATGACAATCGGGTTACTACAGTTTATGTGGTTTTTTATATACAACAGCATTTAATAAATAAATAACTTCTGTCAAGATAAGTTCTCAACATGGATTTGAAAGCCACACAAACAGATCACGGAAAGTGTATGGAAATTAAGGCCATTTTTTATTTGAACAGAAAATAAAGGAGGAAGAAGGAGTTCATCTTGATTAAAAAGTTGTTAATACATCCTGGTTTTAATTTTTTGGTTTCTTGCCTATATTTGTTTAGTTGCTTTTGTTCTTCACATTTCTTTCTTTCTTGATCTGTTCTTGTTAAATGCCTGAGAAGACGATCCACCATGTGGGAGGGTTTATGGTCTGTCCATTTTTATTACCATAAACAAATAATAAAATATAAAACAAATGGTAACATTGTTGTTTTTTTAATATTTATTTGTCCTTTATCATGACAATTTTTGCAATTTTTGTCATAGTTACCAAATTTCATCAAGAAGTTCCATCATTCGTGATTAGATCTGATTATAAGAAAGATAGAAGGAAAACCGTTTTTTTGTTGGGTAAAATTAAGAACATAAGACTACTTCGATTCACAACCAAAATCAACCCAACTATCTATTAAAAAATTAATTTATCTTTCTTCCACCTATACAACCCAACTAAACCCAATTTTTCACACCTATTAGCAACCGAACCCAAACCAAACTATTATATTAATTATGATTATTTATTATTATATTATACCGGGTACATATTACGTTTTATTAAATTTATAACCTAAACTTCTTATTATATTTAAGATTATATAGACAATATTAAAAATATTAACAAAATTCTAAAAATATATAAATATTGGTCTTTATTTGTATATGTAGATAAAATTATTTTATGTATTTTAGTATATTTTGTTAATTTTTTTTAATAAAAGTAAAACGGTTGGTGCACTAACGCCAAAGTTGAGTTTTAAGCTTTTTCTTTGCATTTTTTAAGTTTCTTTTAATTTTTAGTCCAACCAACTAAAACAATTGGTCATGAAGTAGCCTAACAATAAAATAAAAACAACCGGTTGTTGTGGTTGTTGTTGATGTCGATTCGTGTAAGACTACACAAAGAAGCTCTCATCTTTAAATGTTTTTACGTCTTTCTAAAGTTGTAAGCTTCAACGTAAACACTAAAGATTTGATGTATAATATTTTTCGTTCGTGTACGGATCAGCACCAATTAATAAATGAATTAGAAGTTGCTATTCTTTTATATCCTATATTGATAAGGGAAGAAACTTGAAAGTGGGTTTATAAGTCTTCTTTTTTGATAAACATTTAAAGACTTTAGTGGATCAATAGATACACCAAGTTCATACACGTGTTGTTGACGTTCCTTGACTTTGTAAGGATCACATCGACTTAACGTGACACATGGTGAGCTATTGTAGGATTATCATTGTCACATAAATCTCTCTCTCTCTCTATGTGTGTGCGCGTGCACGCGCAAACGCAAACTGCAAAAATATGTAGTTATAGGAGTATTTTTCTATTTTAGTAGTTATTAAATATTTATATAATTATTTAAACTTTGTAAAACAAATGAAATAGGTAAAATAGTCTTTTTAGACCAAATCTATAATTTTTTTAAACCTTTGGATATTAGCCACGATAAAATAAGAAATAAATTACTATGTTTGTAATTTTGTCACTTCCAAATATGTATTGTAAAAACAATAAATTCCGAACAAATTTATAAACCAATTAATTTTTATAGAAGTTTCCTACCTCAATCTGTCTTTACCATCACAGCTTTATTTTAACATAAACCTGTAATTCAACTAAATTTAAGATATTTTTCACACTTTCAAACTGTAGCACCAATACCTTCATCTGCACACTTCCACATCCCTACTCAAGGATTTTGTCCGGTCCATTACTACCTATAAACACGTAGTGAATATGCCCAACAACCAAACAATGGCGAAAGAAGCCGAGGTGATTCTGCTGAATTTATGGTCAGCTTCTCTTTATTAACCTAAACAACTCAAACCCCATTTGATATAATTTGTGTGTAACTTTGCATCTGGGATTCTTTCTTGTACACAGACAGCAGTGAGCAACGAATCTTGAATCAATGACTACATATTCAAGAAATTCACTCCAGTTTTGAGGCAACTTCCTATCTTTCAAACAAGTCAATGTTTGTTAAGATCTTGTATTCAAGGGAAATGGTCTTAGATTATCGAATCTTTTGTCTAACACTGTACAAGGAAATGTAGGTATACCAAATTGGGAGGAACTTGTACACAACAAACGAGGAAGAACATAATGCATCCAGTAAAAAGTTCAGTGATTCCCTTAAAAACTGATTTAAGGAGAGCTCGGAGATAAGCCTTAATTTGGCGGTGATAGTTTCGAGTTACTATTATTTCGATATACAAGTAGAAAACAAAAACAATAATGTTGTTCTTTTTGCTAATTAAAGGTAGGCAATAGTTGAAGATTTTGTATCCCACATCGGGTGGGTGAAGGAAGCAGCCAAGAGAAAGCTGTGTATAAAATGAGAAGCCAAAGAGGGGAATAAGCATACCTTTCTCGGCCTTTTGGCTAAGATCAAGTGTAGTATCTGTTCTTATCAGTTTAATATCTGATATGTGGGCCATCGGCCCACTCGATATTAATCTTATTTTTTATGGGGAAAGGCCCATTACAGTAGCTTGCTGCTGGGGTTCTTCACGATTCGCCTTGGTCTTACACTACTGCCTAGGCCTGGCTCGCCCCTCCAATCTTTTAGTTGAAAGTTGTTGTTTTTGGTATCTGTTAGTTGTGATTCTTAACATTTTAACTAACTATTGCAATTGTTAACTCCTTTTAAGAAATTTGTTTATAAAGTCGATGTAGTGTTAAATATAATTACTCAACAAAACAGATGACAGCTTATTCATAGAAGCTTCAAATGGAAAGTTTTAAGGAAATGAAGGCCATTTTTTATTTGAATAGAAAATAAGGGTGGAAGAAGGTATTCATGTTTAATTAAAAAGTTGTTACTACATCTTGGTTTTAACTTTTAAGTTTGTTAATGCCACAGAAGATGATATATTGTGGGTAGGTAAGATGGTTTATAATGGGTCCATCTTTTATTAATATAAAAAATATATATACAAATGGTAAAATTGTCATTTTTTAATATCTCCAATATGTTTGTTCATTTGAAATTTAAATTTAGAAATTTGATATTTATGCATTGCGCTAATGCTACCATGGATTATCAATGAGCAGTAATATTTGTAAACAAAGTTATAACATAAGGGTCTATTTTCAATACTAATGAATTTCATAAATAAATAAAAATACAATGAAATAAACAAGTTTTGTATTATAAAGGTAGAGTTTGGCCATTGATTAAAAGTCATGACTATTAAACAGCTTTTAATTTGACATTAATTTATTTTTATTTAAGACTTCTTTCCATCAACACATAAACACCAACAATAGAAAAAACTAGTCTTCAAATAGACCCGCCGAAATAAAGCTTGGTTCCAAAAAAAACTCGGTTGAGTCATTACTAATTCGTAGCCTGATAAACATAACATAAACATTATGTAAATGCAAAGAAAATTATAATCTTACTATGTGAACATTATAATCTATTTAAATTACAAAAATGAATTATTTAATGTTATAAAGGTTCAAACACAATACTTCACTTATCTATAAAAATAATACTAAGTACATAAAACCATCGAAAATTCAAAAGATGCATCATAAATTGAAATACCATCGAACACTCTCAATTTAAAGCGAAACCGATTCTATTTACAATACATTCGACCTCATTTATGGTTTTATTCTAGAAACCAAATTGTAACACCTGAAAATACACAGATTGTGTTTTTAAAATGTAAGATGTTAAAATACAAAATTAATTGTTATTAAATAAACGGCAAAGTACAGAAAAACACAACCATTTATCTCTAACATTCTAAAAAACTCTTACATTTTGTTAATATGCAGAAAAACCTTTATATTTTTAGTTACCTTTCCCATTAAAAAAATACCGCTTTTAAGAAATTATTTGTTTTTTTGTGACATAATATTTATATTTTTCGTTTTTAGGTTAACATGAAAACAAAAATAAGTGACGTTGCTTCTTATCTAAGGTAAAATAAGCGACATCATTTTCTTTTTTCAATGTCAACTTAAAAACAAACAAGATAAATATCATGACACAAAACAACTAGTTTCTTCTTAAAATATAAAGAGTTTTCCTGTATATAAACAAAATATAAGAGTTTTTTCGAATGTTGGTATGGTAGATAAATGGTTGGGTTTAATGCATTTTACCTTTCAATAAAACAAGTGTTAATTGGTAATTTGGTTGTTACAGAATAACTACGGATTTTGTTGATTTGGAAGGGATAATTTCACATTATATATTAGTATTAGGTTATTAAGTTATGACAAAAACCCAAAGTTAGTAGCTATTATGAAGATATTGTCCTAAGATGATGACTTATATTGTCATTGAATTAAATACAGAAAAAGGCCTAATCAAAGGGACCGTAGTTAAATATTATGAACTATGTTCCTAAGGCTATATAGAGTGGGAGGAATTTTTTACCTATATGATGACATGAAAGCTCACTCACTACTAACTTATTAATGGAATATCACCTCGGCCTTGTGACTTTGTGACCATCTATTAGTGAGGCTATGCTTCCTCATAATCTCTCTCTCTCTCTATATATATATATATATATATATATATATATATATATATATATATATATATATATATATATATATATATATATATATATATATATATATATATATATATATCGGTCAACCCCTGTTTTTTCGGATACAGTGTAAAAAATTTTGAATTTTTCGTTTTCTATATTTGTGCCACTATGTAAAAGGAAAAACGTGTCACCAGCAACACTAGGAATGGCAACGGGGCGGGTTCGAGGCGGGGCATGGTTTCCCAAACCGCCCCGAT